AAACCAAGAGGACTCTGTCGGCCCCTCCGCAGGGCCGTTGGCATCACGGTTTTATGGTTTACTCTGGCCCGCCGCCATCAAAACACATTAATTAGAGTTAACAGACTCAGGAATTAGCGGGAGACACGTTGCCAAATGGTGGGAGAGCGTTTGTGACTCTCTCACTCCAGTAACAATTCGCCAAATGTTTTTTAAAGAGTTTAATCCACTGAATGTCCTCCCTAGCTCACCCTGGTTTCCAGCCTCTGTGGGTTGACTTACTCCCCCCCCCCCCCCCATTTTTTCCCCCCCCCCTGCTTATAAACAACCGCAAAGGCTGAGTGGGATTAGAGGCTGCCGTGCTTGTTTGACAAAGTGTGGTCATTACTTTTCCTGTGTTGAAACTGGAGTTTTGCCTCCACGCTAAAAAAAAAAAAAAAGAAGAGAGAATTGGCATCTGTACAGATCTTATAAATGAGTGTCATAAAACAAAAGTATGACTTGTTTTTAATAGAGGATTAAGGGTTTTGCCTTAATGACGGATGGGTTTAGGCCTTAGGTCTGGGCTCAAAAATTAACTTTTTTAAAACATTTTAGTTTGTTTTTTAGCAGATCCAAAGACAAAAACAAACGGGGGCGCTGTGGTCATCGAGGCAGACGACATTCTCCCCCGCTGAGCTTTTTCCTTTCCTTCAGTGCCCCCCCGCCCCCCGACCTTATTTAGCCTTCTGTGGACAGAATCACAGCCATGTCAGCCCTGAAAATCAGCCAAAATACCCACTCTGAGAAACCAGGACCCCTCCAGTCCACACTTGGCCCTTGGGGCCTGAGCCTTTAGGGCAGGGGTGTCAGAATCCAGTCCTCGAGGGCCGCTGTCCTGCAGGTTTTAGACATTTTTCTGCTTCTGCACACCTGATTCTTATTAACTCATTGGCTGCCAAAGACATCTATAAACGTCAATTCAAATACAACCGTTGACTGCCAAAGACGTCTATAGACGTCTTTTATGTTTTTCAACGCAAGTGGCTGGGGGACGATCTGCTAAAGCTTGTCCGTAAATATCAGGCTTCTAGACAGAGTATGTAGTAACAAATTGACCCTCTAGGGGGCAGTGCCACTTTTGATGGGAGATGAGCATAGGCTGTAGGCAAATAGGAAAAAGGGAACGGTTCGCTATGAGAGAACATGTCGCCGGTGAGACGCAAGTCGAGGAAGAACGGAATAAGGTAGAAACCAAACAAATTTCCTGATGAAAGAAGAGAGTCTACTCTTTCTTTTGGTGTGTTCGGTGTTTACATAGTCATAGCACAAACTATTCTGTGGCTCTTGAAAAATCAGTCAAAATGCTCAAAAAACTGTGGCAGTATGGGACTCTCTGTTCTGAAAATGGCTGGCAGTCAAGGAGTTAAATTGGATCTCCTCTGGACATTGTTGAGCTTTGCACCTGTCTAATGGCCCTTTGATGTGAATCAGGTGTGTTGAAAAAGGGGTTACATCTAAAACCTGCAGGACAGTGGCCCTCGAGGACTGGATATTGACACCACTGCTTTAGGGGGTTTTTAACACATGCGCGTGACAGGTTGCACCCCCCAACAGCGTTTTCTCCACACGGTCCCGGTTCAGCTCTGTGACGGCCAGAGGACGGAGGCCTGGTCAGATCCAGCCGGCGGATGTTTTACTGTGGTCAGATCTGTCTGTAAACGAGCTCATCTGTGAACAGAAGCCCAAATTGGTACCATTTAGCTTAAATCCGGATCTGAAATAAACAACATATTTATACAGAACTGTGATGCTTTTTTTCTGAGGTTAACAAAAAGATAGAAATGTTGTCTAAAGGAAAGGGAAAATACAGAATTAAATGTATCTGTTGGCCGGGGGTGGGTTAGATTCTTCAGAAAAGGTCTTAGACTTATTTAATAAAATATTAAATAGCAAAATGAAGGTATTTTTCTTCCCTATAGAAAAAAAGTCAGATCTCAAGCCTGCAATCACCTGATATCTTGACAGTTTTGTGTTAAAAGCTGGAAGGCGATGTCTCTGTGACCCAGCATGAGGTCACTTACCTTTTAAGGTAAATGATAACAAGAATACAGCGAGTGGGCCTCAGATCCTGCCCAGAGAAGTCAGCTTTTTGGAGCAGAGCGGGATGTTGGCAAGCACAAACAGTAACAATCAGAAACGTTAATCTGTGCCCGGTTTGAGCTGCCCCACCTGTGCCTGAACATTTCCCACCCAGTGACTGTTTGTGTGGAGTCTGAGGCTGAAATGACTCGTTCCAGCTGCTTCTCAGAGGCGTCTGTGTCGGGTTTCTGCGAGCAGCAGGTTTCACTTTTGGGTTTTATACGGTGATTTAGTGGAAGATCAGATTCCCGATCAAACCGGGGGTTCAGGTTTCAGCTGAACGCCATCTCCAGTAATTAGCTGTGAGGCCGGACCACATTGCCGCTTTATTGTCGTCTTCATCTCAGCCTCTTTGAATTAGCCCGAAACAGGAGACGGAGTCTGGAACCTGCTGACTGTCTCAGACAGCCCCGCGCTTGTTATCTGTGGAGAAACGTCATTTAAATCTGCCCCTCGTGGTTCAAACAAAGGCATTCCTGTTGGATGAGCAGCGAGTCAATGATTACTCCACGGGTTGATGGTTTGTGCAAAGTGTGTTGCTCATAAAAATGAAAAAAAAAGGCTTAATTTTGGACTTTGATGTGCTCTCCTGCATGTGAAACGCCGTCTCTTTTTTTTTTTTTTTGCAGAGACCTGAGGTTCAACAAAATCAAGGATTTGCAGCCGGGGTCCTTCAGGCGACTGAACAACCTCAACACGCTGTAAGCAACACACACACACACACACACACACACACACACGATTGTTCTCTTTAGGTTTCACACGTGTGGGTCAGCTCATTATCTCAGAGGCATTCCTGGTCCTGTTTCCATCCCCAGGGCTGTTTGTTAGGCGGTAAACCAATGCAGCATGAGGCAGATACACAGCTTTATCTGCATCCAGAAACACACCTCATCCACATCCAATGAGTGCAGACACAGTGGGGGGGCGTCCTGGTTTGCCCCCAGTAGATTAAATGAGTGCTATATACAGGGCGTTTAGTTTTTTTTTTTTTTTTTTTTAAAAAGACCCGGGGGCACAAAAGTTTTTTTAACAAAGGATTTTTCAAACCAGCATAAGGAATATTCAGAAGCATTTTCACAAGAAAACAAAAACATTTTAAGAAAGTTCTCAGTAAGAAACAAGGCCACCTGCAAGGGCTTCTTTTAAAAAGACTGTTCACAGTTAAAAATCTGACTATTTAATCACCGATTTTGGTTTGACTAATGTGTTTACTGACATTTTAACTCAAACTCAAATGACTTTGTCTTTTATGTCTTTTGGGGTCATTTTGTGAGGATTGCAGAGAGGAAGAAAAATGTCTGAGGACATTTAAGAACATTTTTAGACGGAGAAAATATGAAATACCAGAAGAGGTCCAAAAACATCCTGTCAGAGCAGGAAAGTGAGCCAGGCGTCGGGCTTTAGATTTAGTTTTAAAGTACAGAAAAGTCGTTCAGAGCAGGAGAAAAGCCGGCGTTCTTTTTCCTATCAGCCGGCCAGCCGCGTGTCTGTTGGAGGATTTACTGCGATTCCTGAGCCGCTCTTATTGGTTTCAGGCTGCAGCCCCGCAGACCGAACAAAAACATGCAAAGTCCTCCAGACTTCCAGCTGCAGCCCTTCTCATGCGTCCTGTTGTTTTTTTTCCCTCACAGCCTCCTGAACAACAATCACATACGAAGGATCCCCAGAGCGGCCTTCGAAGACCTGGAAAACCTCAAATATCTGTAAGTGGCCTCACACTGGTTGCTTTGCCTGTGTAGCGGGAAGCAGAAACTCCACAGAAATGGGGATTTTTCTGTCTTTAATCGGTGAAAACCTGCCGAAACAAGCCTCTCCGACGGCTGATCAGCTGTAGTCTCTGCGTCTGACGCTGGAAATCAGCTCCTGGAGGAAGAATTGAGAACAAAGGTGGTTTCTTTCCTAGACGTACGAGCTCGGGGGGGTTAGGGGGAAGGGTTAGTCACACTTGTTGTGCCAACCTGAGCTGAGCCAGTGAATTCCACGATGGGAACAGCTGATGTTAGTCTAGAACAATGAACTGAAAATGAGCAGACTTTTCCATTTAAAATCTATGATGGTTATTTGTTGTAAGAGCACCATATTATGTAACACGTTCAGGAAAAAGTGGTTGAAGTTTTCCCAGCAAAAAAGTCACAAAGGGTCTTTTATTGTGCCGTCACAAGCAGAAATGCATCGATTAGAAGTTGTTTCTGCAAATTCAGCTTTTTTTAAAGGGCCTGACACCCAGCTCTGATTTTCTGGTCCTTAAGCCTCCTTTTTCTTTAAAGAAACAACTTGTAAGTTTTTTTCTGTATTTAGCATTTTGGTAATGAGTCATAAAAGCAAAAGAAAGCCAACAAAGTGTGTTTAGTTTATCACTGTTAGATAGATAGATAGATAGATAGATAGATAGATAGATAGATAGATAG